CCTTGGGGGGCGCCAAAAGGGGTGGAAATGTTTTTTTAAAGCTCATTTTAAGCTGCAGTTTTGAATTATAAACAGAGTAAAGAAATTTAACGGCTGAGAGCCTTTGCGTACTGATTTAACTGTTTTCTACCTTGATTGCTAACTGTAAAATATATATCCTTAAGAAACAGTGACCGGAACGTGAATCATATGAGTCTGCTGATCGTTTTGACCTCCGCGGAAGCCAGAGACTGAATTACCGAAGCTCTCGGGTTTGATGGAACCCACTGTTCTAAGCTCTTTTGATTTTCTTCTTTTTATTCGTTTCGGCTTCCTAAAGAACATAGGCATAGGCAACACTTCGTCAACTCATTTTTTGAAGATCGAACCCTAATAATCCAGCCTCCTCCTTCTCTATTTCAAACGATTTCCTTCAGAACTTATTTAGTCTTTTTCTCTTTCACTTTCCCCATGGACTTCACACAAGCACCTGCATAGGGATGTTATTTTTTGTCTTCCTCATATTGTGTCCTAACCACCACCTTTTCATTCTCCACTGTCTTTAACCTAGCTCCGAGCCATAAAATAAAAGACACATCGTATTTAGCTATAGATCCTGATTGAATTTTTTTGACTATGCATTTGAATTCCATATCGACTTAGAATGTTAATACGCATTTTATCGCATGCTGATTCTAATCTGAACGTCATGAGCGTCAGCTATTATCATTACACCCGTTATTACTGCTTCTTCGTCCCGTACAATTTGTTGTTGATTGTGTGCGAGAAGACAGCGCACATCTGCGAAATCCAAGACTTCGAGCTGCTGTGTCTGTTGGATTCCAATTTGTTTCTTCTAGCTTGCTACACTATACAATCAACCAGTCAACAAAATACCCATGACGTATTCCAATGTGAACAATAATTTGCTATTGTATGTCAATTGTATGACCGTAATCTAACAAACTTATAATCCAAATATGTACTATAGCATAACAGAGACTGGTCCAAAGATAAAATATAAAAAGAAAATCATACAGCGTAATTATTAATTTTTTTCCAGACTAGTCCCACACACACACACACACACACACACATATATATATATATATATATATATATATATATATATATATATATATATATATATATATATATATATATATATATATATATATATATATATATATATATATATATATAGGGCCTATATAGGGGGGCGCCAAAATAAAAGTTCGCCCCGGGCGCCGGGAGGGGTCGCTACGCATATATATATATATATATATATATATATATATATATATATATATATATATAGGGCCTATATAGGGGGGCGCCAAAATAAAAGTTCGCCCCGGGCGCCGGGAGGGGTCGCTACGCATATATATATATATATATATATATATATATATATATATATATATATATATATATATATATATATATATATATATATATATATATATATATATATATATATATATACGGCCAAATCATACATTGGCCGGCCAATTTGTGCATTACCTATGATGCCCTAGCTCAGTGGTTCCCAAACTTTTTCGAATGGCGATCCCTTTTAATAAAATGTAAGTGACCCTCGACCCCCATAAAATTAAAAAGCCGAAATTAGTATGGAAATTAATAAGCACTAAAATAAGATTTGCTAGAAGACTTTCAATATGAACTATTATTGATAACTATTTTAATACGATTAGTAAAATTGCATGCTATTTATTAAACATTAATTTATTGTTAACGCTAACCTATGTAATTATCAACATTCCATGTATTTCTTAATTTTGTTTTTAATCGGAGAATAGTGTTGAAAATCTATTCTCGAAAGGTCAATCAACTTTACGTTTAGGTATGAATGTGTGTGCAGTTTTTTATCTTACGCGGAATCATTCTGCAAATCAAAGAATTCATCTTGTAATTCATCGGGAATGCTGCC